GAATCGATAACATTTATATGGTTAACTTAGACAAATCTCCTTCCGACTTTGCTAAGTGCCTCATGAGTAAAGAGGAAGACACTTGGTTATGGCACCGAAGGGTAGCTCATATGAACATGAACCTTTTGAACAAATTGGTTTCACAAGACTTAGTAATTGGCATTCCAAAACTTAAGTTTGAAAAAGACGCCATATGTGATGCATGTCAAAAGGGGAAGCAAGTTTGGGCTTCGTTTAAGTCTAAGAACGTTGTTTCAACGTCTAGACCGCTTCAACTTTTGCAGATGGATCTTTTTGGTCCTTCTAGAACGAAAAGTTTTGGTGGCAATTACTTTGCGTTTGTGATTGTCGATGACTACTCTAGGTTTACAAAGACCTTGTTTCTTACTCATAAAAGTAAAGCATTTCATGTTTTCAAAAATTTTCTAAAGAAAGTTCAAAATGAAAAAGAAACAACCATAGTAGCCATAAGAAGCGACCATGGGGGAGAGTTCGAACGAAATCTGTTTTCAGATTTGTGTGACGAACTTGGCATTGATAATAACTTCTCAGCCCCACGTACACCACAACAAAATGGAGTGGTGGAACGTAAAAATAGATGCCTCGAAGAGATGGCTAGAACTATGATCAATGAGGCAAAAATCCCTAAGTATTTTTGGGCGGATGCCGTGAGTACCGCGAGCTACGTGTTAAACCGAGCCGTCATTCGACCAATACTCATGAAAACGCCCTATGAACTATACAAAGGGAGAAATCCAAACCTTTCCCATCTTCGAGTCTTTGGTTGCAAATGTTTTATTCATAATAACGGCAAAGATAACTTGGGAAAATTTGATGCCAAATCAGACGAAGGGATTTTTCTTGGTTATTCTCTTCGCAGCAAGGCCTATAGAGTATTTAATAAACGTACTTTGACTATTGAGGAGTCCCCTCATATTGTATTTTCCGAAGATAATCCTCGCTTGGCGAGAAAGGCTATTTGTGATGATCTTGCAGGTTCATTAGAGAGAGTACACATTGAAGACGATGAAGAAGACACGCCATTATACACCAACCCGCAACAACAACCTGAGGAAACACCTCAAGTGATGGTCGAAAATGAGGATCGAGCGGACGAAGAAGAACAAGAGGAAGCCCAGGAACAAGAGGAAACCGAGCTTCCCATCGCCTGGAGAAAACACAGAAACCATCCACTTGATCAGGTAATCGGCAGCATCAACCGTGGGGTAAGTACTCGTAACTGTTAGAATAAAGCCCCAACGCTAGAGGGGGGGGGTGTGAATAGCGTTTAAAACAAAATCGAAGGAAATTAAAACGAGAGCGTTAAAGTAAAGAGCGTAAGGAAGGAACACACCGGATTTTATCCTGGTTCACCACAACGTGTGGCTAATCCAGCCCCCCGAGAGACTCTCTCGAGCTACACTAACTCCGTTAAGCTTAAGGGTACTTAACAAACCGATACAACTTGAGAACCCGAGTCACACGAGCCTCAACACCTTTGCTCGGAGATACCGCACTCCAAGACTTCTCACGAAGGAACAAGGAACATCCTTCGAGTTTACAACAAGGGAACAACCTCCCTTAAAGCGTATGAAAACACTTAAACACTCAGGAATAAAACTCTCACAAAGAGTAGATATGAGTGAACTAGTAAACGCTCAAAACACGACAATTTCTTCAAGAATTGGCTCTCAAATAGCTAAGAAAAAATAGGAATGCTTATGCAATGAAAGAGTATTGAAAATGTTGAAGAATTGTGTGTTAAATGAGAGGATTTGGGTGCCATTTTATAGACCAAAATGGGATAAACCCGTTGCTAGAATTTCCAACAGGATGAAGACAAATTTTTCAGGGACACAGGCTGATAGTCGATTGTCAAAGCATGATAATCGATTATCCAAAGATTCCCTGTCCAAAAATTTAAAATTCTATCCGTTGGAGGACAACGGTAACCCAGATAATCGATTGTCAACAAGTGATAATCGATTATTGGTCCTCTCAGAAGATTCTGGGTTTTGGCTGCAAAGACTGACAATCGATTATTGCAAAGCTGATAATCGATTATTGCGTGCTTCAGAACTTTGGAAGTTCAAAGCTGCAGGGGCTGATAGTCGATTGTCACTAAGGTTATAATCGATTATCAGCCAGGTAAAGTCTAGCCAGCTGAAACCCGTTTNCTAGGCTCGTAGCTAAAGGCTACAATCAAGAAGAAGGCATTGATTTTGAAGAAACGTATGCACCTGTAGCACGTTTAGAAGCTATTCGTTTACTTCTTGCTTTTGCTTCGTCTATGGATTTTAAACTTTATCAAATGGATGTTAAGAGTGCCTTCCTCAATGGTTTTATTCAAGAGGAAGTGTATGTTGACCAGCCCCCGGGGTTTGAGGACTTTGAGTTTCCCGATCATGTCTTCAAACTCAAGAAAGCGCTCTACGGTCTTAAACAAGCACCATGTGCTTGGTACGAACGTTTGAGTAAATTTCTTTTGGATAGTGGTTTCCAAAGGGGAAAGGTAGACACCACACTTTTCATCAAGAGTAAAAACAATAACATCCTTTTGATTCAAGTTTATGTAGACGATATTATATTCGGTGCTACTAACGAGTCTTTGTGCAAGGAATTCTCAACGCTAATGACTAGCAAATTTGAAATGTCAATGATGGGCGAGCTCACATTCTTTTTGGGACTCCAAGTTAAGCAAATAAAAGATGGCACGTTCATTTGCCAAACTAAATACTGCAAGGAGCTCCTAAAACAGTTTGAAATGGACAGCGCCAAAGCCATGGCGACCCCGATGAGCACGTCTGATCATTCTGACAAAGACGAGAAAGGTAAGGAAGTAGAGGTCAAAAAGTATCAAGGTATGATCGGATCCCTTCTTTATCTTACTGCTAGTAGGCCGGATATCATGTTTAGCGTCTGCCTTTGCGCAAGGTATCAATCATGTCCAAAGGAATTGCACTTAACAGCGGTAAAACGGATTATGAAATATCTTGCCGGCACGGTAAACGTTGGACTGTGGTATCCAAAAGGCTCTTCTTGTCATCTCGTTGGTTATTCCGACTCGGACTTTGCCGGTTGCAAATTAGACCGTAAAAGTATGAGTGGGACTTGCCACTTACTTGGTAGCTCTCTAGTCTCATGGTTTAGTAAAAAGAAAGTCAGTGTTGCGTTATCCACAACCGAAGTGGAATATGTAGCCGCCAGCAGTTGTTGTGCTCAAATTCTTTGGATGAAGCAACAACTCGTGGACTATGACCTTAGTATCAATCACGTCCCTCTTCGTCGTGATAAGACTAGCGCCATAAGCTTGACGAAGAACCCCGTTCTTCACTCAAGGACGAAACACATTGACATTAGGCATCATTTCATTAGAGATCATGTTCTCAAAGGTGATGTCGAAATTGAGTTTGTTGAAACACACAACCAATTAGCCAACATTTTCACAAAACCTTTAGAGAAAGAGTCGTTCTTCCGCATTCGAAGTGAATTCGGAATCCTTGACTCCACGATGATCTAAGTTATGCATCTAAACTTATTAAACGCTTACTAACTTGAGCGTAGGAGAACTCTTTCCTTTTTTTGCAGGTACCCCGTTCATGAAATCAGGGGGAACCATGCAAATAGCGCTGTCCGAGAGACCAAACAACGCTATTGAGAGAAACACCGTCAACCAGTTTGTGCCAACAGCGCTGTACAACACGCCAACAGCGCTGTCCCAGGGAGTCCCTTACTCTTCACTTTCTAGAAAATTTTTGAACATCTCTGTTCCAACCTAAAACATCGCTGTCCACCCAAAACACCTTGTTTTCAACCAAAACCAGAAACTTTTTAAACAGCGATGTCCCACTTTCAACATCGATGTCCGCTTTTACAAAATTTTTTTCTATCGTAAAACAACGATGTAGAGAAACCCAACAGCGTTGTTCTAATGGGTTCAACCCCTTACACAATTCCAAAATGATTTGAAACATCGCTGTCCTTTTAACACTTGTTTTTAAAACTTGACGCATAACAGCGCTGTCCAGAGGCTCAACAGCGCTGTCCCAACAACGATGTAGCCTTTGGAACATCGCTGTTCTGGATAAATTTTTCAAAAAATATCCGTTGGCACCAGCATTAATTGATCCAACAACCATTTTTTTTGAAAATCTGGACGTTAGAGTCCTCCTTCTCTATAAATTGGGACCTCCTCTCTTCACTTTTACACAGACAAACACAATTCTCTTCAACATCCTTGCTTATTTCATCATTTATACTCTTTTCTCTTGAGATTTCTTCATCATGGGCAATGATAAGAACAGGGCAGGAGCTTCCGGCAAATCCAAGGACAAATCCCGGGCGCCTACGACATCCACCGAGGAACGCCTCTACTATGGTGACGGGTCATACCTTTGGTTTGATTCCGAGGAGGAACGCACCCGTTTCCTCACCTTCTTCTCTAAACGGGTTGTGGCTCCTCCACGGATCATCCTGGAGCGCTACCCGGAGCTGCAGGGTTACGACGACCTCGACGCGCAGCTTCATCAAGCCGGCCTTTGGCCTTTCGTCTCCCGGGCTCGGAAGGAGATCAACCCGGCGCTGATTCGGGTCTTCTTCTCCAACCTCCGGCGTGAGGGCGACGTGCTCTATTCTCTTGTCAAGAGCACGCCGATAGAACTTTCAATTGAGCAGCTTGGGCGCATCGCCGGCCTCCCCTACCAAGGCGACGACGTCTCCCTCTATGGCGGAGAGGACTGGGTGCTCAACAACGAGGGCCTTATCCTCAACGAGCTTGGGATCACCGAGCTCATCCGCCATGCCTCGGGCCGCCCGACCATCCACTCCGCTAACCCCGAAGGCCGTCTTCTTCTCTACATCGTCTCCCGGATCATCAAACCCAGGAAGCACGACCACACCATCATGTCTGGTGAAGATCTCAAGCTCATCCATGCGATCATGCACTCGGCCCCAATCAATTGGGCAAAGTTTGTCATGATCAACATGACGATTGCCGCGTCCACCGACCACGATCACCTCCTCCCGTACCCGTTCGTGGTGATGGACATCCTTGAATGGTTCAAGGTGACCACCACCGTTGGCCCACTCACAAAGGCCACGAAGATTTAGGCGATCAGCACCCAAACCTTCAAGAAGCGGTCGGACAATGCCGGACCTGCCACTGCCGTGCCACGGCGCTGTTCTGCTGCTGGCCCAGCCGAAGCCCAGGCCCGAGCCAACCTTGCCTCCATCGCCGACTCCCTCAACCGGCTTCACTTCAAAGTTGACGGGATGGATGGCTACCTTGAGCAGCTCGACGAGGCTGTTCAATGCCAAGGGCACGCCATGAACGCATACTTCCAACGCGTTAACTACGTCCCCCCACTGTACCATGGCACGTTTTGTGGGCAAGTGTACGGTGACGAGGACGAAGAGGATGGCTCCTACGCCCCGTCAAGCTCCCCGGACGAGGACGAGGACGAGTTTGACGACGCCGTTGACGGTGATGAGATGGACGTCGACGACGATGAGGAGGAAACCGAAGACGAAGACTAGGCCGCCCCTAGAATTTCGATCTCTTTTATTTTAATTATCATGTCTCTTAATGCTTCCGTTGTACTCCGCTATTTCCCATCTTCAATAAATAAAAGTTATCTTTTATCTTTTTGTTAATGTCAAAAGGGGGAAGAAAATGGCTATGCATATACTAAGGGGGAACGCCTCTAAAAACGAGACCGTTTGATTTTAATCCAACTAATTTCTTTTAAGCACAAATTAAGGGGGAACTTTTTCACAACTTTTTGAAAATCAAATATCCCTTAATATGCATATCCCCATCTTGTTTGTCATTATCAAAAAGGGGGAAATTGTTGGAACACGGGTTTACGCCTATGTCGTACTAAGCCGTGTTCGTTTTATGACAGGTTTTGATAATGCCAAACCGCCGTGACAATAACAAGGTTAAACTGAGCAAAACCAAGGCGAAGGAACATGGCATGATGAACGGAGAACCAAGAACCAAGAATCAAGAGCGAAGAATTAGAATTGCATCGAGTCGGTCTTAATGTGATCGAGACCGGCACAAACTTCCAAATCTTGGCTCTCTAAGCTCAATTCATCAAAACCCTTTTTGTATATTCAAAATGATTTTCATAAGTTTTTAAACCTGGCTAAAAACACTTGGAGTTCGCCCAAACCAAAAACCAAGTCATCCAGCGTTCGGCTTTTAGAAACCGACGTTCGGCTTTCGGTTTTCAGCATTGGTTTTTGGGCATCCGAACCAACCAAGTGGTTTTTAACTTTTTATGATTGGTTTTTGCTTCTGGGCATATTTAAATAGTTCTCCAACAAAAACGCCTCAAAAACCACTTTCCGTTTTTGGTCGTTTAGTGAAAACCATGCTAAACGGCACGAACTTGGTTAGTCGTGGTTTTCAACTAAATGACGTGGTTTTTAAAATGTTTTACTTGATTTCTTAGCAAAATGCAATAAACAAATGTTTTCAATACTTGGTTTTTACTTTGGAGAACTTGTGTTTTTGACATCAGCTAACGGCGTGACTAAACCAACCATGGGTCTGGCTAAACCATCCCAACAGCGATGTTGAGGTAACCAACAGCGCTGTCTGGCTTGGGTAGCTTAAAACATGGTTTGGCGTTAAGTCCTCCAACAGCGATGTTGGACATTAGACATCGCTGTAGAGCCAAGGTTGGATTTCCAGAAACTTCTGGAACAGCGATGTAGGCCTCCCTACAGCGCTGTCCAACCTAAGCCAAAAATATAGTGCATTGGCAGAAAGTTTCAGGACAGCGATGTTGACCCAGCAACAGCGCTGTCAGGCCAAAACCCCACCTTCAAAGGCAGACCTAAACAGCGATGTTCTAGTATGGAACATCGATGTAGAGACCTGACCGTTGGAAGGAATTTAAGGCTAAAACTTTCCTTGTCTGGAAGTCAACAGCCAAAACAGCGATGTAGGGATTTTAGACATCGCTGTTGGCATGACCGTTGCTTCCCATTTTTCAAAACGCAAGCCTAGAACAGCGATGTCCAAGCCTAGGACAACGCTATCTGGGTGAATTTCAACATATCCAATCTTGATCAAATCCCACAAATTGTGCCAATCACCCCTTAAATACTTTGGTCCGTTGGAGCCTATTTTTCTACTATAAAATGGGGTGTTTGGGTCTGTTTTACACATAACATTACTTCACAACTCCTACTCTTTCATTGCAAATCATTCTTCAATTATTCATAGCTTTTGAGAGCCATTTTTTTGTGAAGCTTGTGTTGTGTTCTAGAGCGTTCTTAGTTTACTCATTATCCACTCTAAAAGAGAGTATTGTTCTTGAGTGTTTTTAGTGTTCTTAAACACTTGACAAGAGAAGGTATTTCTCTTGTTGTTCGAAGGAAGGGCTGTTTCCTTCGAAGGTTCGTTGAGGTTCGTGTGACTCGAATTCTCAAGTTGTACGGGTTTGTTAAGCACCGTTAAGCTTAAC